ATTAGACCCCACTTAGGTGGTCTTATTGAGATTGGTTTGGACCTCGTTGATGGTCCCGAAACTTGGTTGAATTGAGACTCGTCCTGTGGACTGAGCAAGTGAAGGTGTGCATAAATAGATTTTGAATTTGGTATATGCATGTTTGATGCATTAAGTTATTTTAAAAGCATTGTGGGCAGTTCTGCTAGAATCATTTGAAGGCCGGAGGCCATTTATGTAAATTGCATGAGATTATATTGTGCATGCTGCCAGTTGGGTTATAAATGTGTTTTATGCAGGTGGAAATTTTGGGGAAATGTTCAATTTACAGGGGAGACTCTGCCGAAATTTCGGCAGAAAGTCTCGTACCCTTAGTCCTCTCTGGTAAACGAGGACATAGATTTAAGGAGTGAACCCGGCTTGGGTGTGATGCCGGGGTCTCCGCAGGGTTCGTCTCGGGTTCTGGGAAATTCGGGACGGGTCCTGTCATCTTAATTATGATTACTTATGATAAGCATCATAAAAGAAACACACCCTTTAATTGAAATTATGAAGAAACCATAATTTGGAATGAAAACCAAATTTCCTATGTATCCTTTTGAGGGAATCAAGCCAGCTTGTAGTTCATTGGAGTCAGGCATGATTGTCGGTGATGAAAATTTGAATGGAGATGGTGTGTTTGGGGATAATTTGGATATGAAAAAGTGTTTGGGGGCAAATTTAGTTAGGATAAACTAGGGATTCTTTTTGGGCTTGTGGTTGCATCTAGAGATGCTTCTAGATTGCCTATGTAACCTTGACGGTATCGAAACCAATGTAGTTCAGTCAAAGGAATGCTTTGGGTGGTTGTGTACAACTTGGTTTTTGATTTGGTAATTAATTTGGCTTCGGTGAATACGCGAATTTGGACTTTTGAGATGGCACAAGTCCATCAAGTTTGGAAACCGGTCATGGGTGAATTTGATTTGTACACCCACTTAATGGGTATTTTCCTTGTGATCTTGGTCCCCTTCACGATTGGTTTTGAGCCCATTAATTCAGAATTTTGTGAATTTAAAAATCGTGGAGCTGTTTTGGAAGTCAGTTTATAAAAAGTTGCCTGTTATTCGCCTGCTATTGTCAATGACTCAGTTGTGCTTTGCACTGGCTTCAAGCCAACGTGAGCACCCGGGATATTTACATTGTGTCGTTTGATATGTCCGATGAAGTAGTCAGCAAGATAGCCAAACCACCAGAAGTTGAAACACAAAAATGTTTCAAACATGCGAGGCCATACTTAAAAGGTAGGCCCTGGGGGCCATATTTTAAAGGTAGAGCCGCGCGGCCATACTTTAAAGGTAGAGCCGAGCGGCTATACTCTATAAACATAATATCTTAAAAGTATAGCCGCCCGGCTATACCATTTTGTAGGATAATATGGATTTCTCGTTTTTAATTACTTTAATTAGTAGTTATGTTTTAGTTATTATTTAATTAGTGAATTATTAGTATTTAAATATTTTATCATAGAAAAAAATAGAAAATTTTAATTACTATTTATTAAGTAATATAATTCATGAAGTTAATTAAAATATTTAACACTAATTATTCACTAAAGAAATCATAATTAAAGTATAATTACTAATTTAACTAATTAAATAAGGCAAAGGATATTATTTAATTACTAAAAATAAAATTGAAAAAATTAATTTTAAAAGAAAAACCCCTCTGGACGAAATTTTGTCTGCACATTCGCTGGCAAATATTTGCCAACATACAACTGTGAGGGGTTTTTGTTTTCTTTTAGTATTTAAAATATTTCTTTACTTTTATTTTATTTTCCCAACTTCTTTAATTTAA